CTATCCAATTTTCCCAGCACCATTTATTGAAGAAGAATTCTTTTCCCCAGTGTATGTTTCTGTTTGCTTTGACAAAGATCAGATGGCAATATGAGGATGGTTTTGTACCTGGTTTCTCAGTTCAGTTCCATTGGTCTTTGTCTCTGTTCTTGTTCCAGTACCATGCTGTTTTGGTTACTATAGCCTTGTATTATAGTGTAGCTGGAAGTCTGATAGGTTGATGCCTCCCAATTTGTTCTTTTTGCTTAAGGTTGCTTTAACTCTACTGAGTCTTCCTGGTTTCATACAAAGCATAGAATTACTTTTTCTAGATCTGAGAAAAAGGATGTGGGTTGAATCTGTAGATCACTTTGGGCAGTATAGACATTTTAACAATGTTGATTCTGCCGATCCATGAGCATTGTATGGTTTTCCATCTGTTTACGTCCTCTGCTATTTCCTTCCTCAGTGTTTCGTAGTTCTCCCTGAGAACCAAGTGAAAAACTCAATGCCTTTCACAACAAAGAAAATAAAATACCTAGGAATATACATTTTGAGTTTTGTCTCAATGTAAATTAACATTAATTATCCTCTTTCCAAGACTTACTATATAATTAATATATTTTTTAATGTTTTGAGAGCTCCTGTGCCTTGTTAGTTTTGCAGGTGTGTATGTGTGGTGTGGTGTATTTCTTAGATTATGGTTGTCTTAAACTACCAATCTTCTAATAGCATAACAAGGAAGTTAGTCATGGACAAATAATACAGATAAGTTTAGAAACATTTTTTAAAATTCACAGCATGGTGGTTTTGGATAAATTCTCAAATTCTTCTACTTTATTTAAAATTGATTTATAAAAAATTTAGGTACGTCCACAGCTCATGGAGGGCAGCAGCATAACAAAGAGGTCACACGCCCTTCTCCCGGCTGTGGCCTCACGCTGGTCCTTAGCCAGCTTTCCTGATGCATGTCCCTCTTTCTTTCTTCCTCTGACATGCACCTGACATACGTGCCATTCGTGCTGCATGAATATTTTACAGTTTAGTTGCTTTTTAACAGGGTTTATGGAACTTTCCCATACATGGAGTCACAGCTATTAGTCTTTGCTATTTGGTGTCTGCTTTTCACACATCATATTTTAAAAGCCCTTTTCTACCCTGAGATTATATAAACATTTGCCTATATTTTCTT